GTGTGTGTGTGTGCATGTGCGTGCCCTGGGGTTAGCCAGAGATACCTCCTGTCCAGAGTTGTCTGTGCTCCCAGTGTGACTTAAACCATAGATTATTACAGCTTTCCTCTTCTACTTTTGTCCCTCTCCATTCTACTTCCATCACCTCTTTCTTTTCTCTTCTCCTAGTATTTCATTTAGCATTTTTCTCCATGTATTTTCACCTCTACACCCCTGCTATCTTCTCGCCAGTTGTTCTTAACACTCGTCTCGCCCCATATTGTATAACTAAAACACTCTTTCTGTCTGTCTGTATCTCTTTCTCTCACTGTTTCTTTGTCTTGCTCTTTGCCCATCAACCGATGAGGTTGGGGTCTCGGCAGTCGAGCTTGAAATGAAAAACTGACGCAACAAGGGGAACGAGGGAGGTAGGGAGTAGAGGAAAGAAAGAATGAAGACACACTGGATGTGAAAGGAGGGAAGTAGGGAAAGATAAACTGAGCCTCAGCAGGCAGGTGGAAATTCTACCAAGAGAGGGCTTTGTTTTAGTATCTCTGTTTCTTTAGCTGTGTCCATCTGCTCTGTCTTAATGTATCTCTCAATGTAGTTTCTAAAATTTTGCACTTTTTGCCATCTGTCTCTCCAGTCTTTCCCTCCTTCGCTAAACCAGTTGGTCAGTTTGAGGAGAAAGGAGGGAAGAGAGGCAGACAAGGAGGGCGGTCAGTGTTCATAATTGAAGTTGGCAGTGCAGATGTCCTCTCATCCCTGTCTACTCATATTCTTCCACTTGCAGTCTTCTCTGTATCTCATTTTTCACCCACTTCATCCATCTACTAATGGATCTATCTTTTAATTGGCCTGTCTACCAAACTAAATGACACTCTGTCTGCCAGGTATGATAAAATGAAATAATGACAGGTATATTGTGAGTTTTGCTTTACAATAAATCAATGAAATACTATTTATCATGTCTTTTGGAATCACATCTATTTCGATATAGTCATTATCAATGGTCAAAACAATGTGATAGGGTTGTATCAGGAGTTACTGTATCTTATGATTCTCATCCCTAGTGTGAAAATACAAATTTCCATCTGCAAAAAATGCATATGTGTGAATAAAGCCTGTAGAGTTTTAGTATCTATCTGTCTATCTATGGTGTGTCTTTCACGGAATCGGAAGAATCTGAATATATTCTAACAAAGATTTGATGTGCTAACAATAAAATCCTCTCTCTCCCTTTCTTTGTCTGTCAATCCTCTCTCTTCCTTTCTTTTCCTTTCTTTTCCTTTCTTTTCTTCCTTGACAATGTCTTTGTATTGCAATACTATCATTTGTTTCACTGGGACAAGCGCGCACACACATACACACACACACACACACACACACACAGATATATACATACCCAATGAGAGAGGAGTTTTCATTGAGGGATGTCACTTTCTGTGTTCTTTGATTTTCTGTGATCATGTGTGCTTCCATGAGAGTGAATTAGGCGCCAAATGATGCCGAAACACATTGATTACAATTCAGTGTGTGTCTGTGTGCTTGTATGTGAGTACCCAATCAGATGACACAAGACCCTAAGGTGCCAGTATGCTATTTTTAACCGCAAGTCTTTGGGAAAGATAGAAAGAGAAGGGGGAGGAAAGTAGAGAAAGAAAGCTGGAAACTGAGATGAAGAGACGGTGATGGATACAGTAAAAAGAAAAGATGCAGATAGAGAGAGAGAGAGAGAGTGCGACAGGAACAAATACATCGAAGTGAGGTTTGTAAAAATCATTGCACAGTGACAGATTCTTCACAGTGACATTTAAAAAGTGGAGCAGGGAGGAAATATTTTCCTACACAGGGTACAACAGCTCTTGTTGGACCAATGTATAAATAAAGGTTCATTATGTCCCTGTATCTTTACAAAGATAAAAATATGAAGAAATTAAAAAAAAAAAAAAA